AGCTGCATTGGTTTTGATGGCACCTGTCCTCTTCAAATAACTTCTGCATTTCTGCTGCTGTCTTTGGCCTGTGTTTCTTACTGTTATTCTCAGTTTCTTCTGTGGTAGTGGTCATAATCTCATTGTACTCCTGTGAGGCACATTTCTTCTTGCTTTGTATCCTGAATATCACCTGAGCCTGCAGGATCATTACATTTTCTGAAATATCATCTCTTCTTCCTCTTCCAGTCCTCCTTTAATGTTTGCATTAAATTAGCTAAGAAAGTAATTTATAGTTCTTTTTTTTTCCCAGCTTCAAATAAGCTAGGTGGCTTTTTAAAAAAAAATATTATTATTATTATCATCATGCTGTTTTCCTTCTCAGTCACAGCAGTACTGAATATTGTTTATTTGTGTGTAAGTGGCACTTAGGAATCCATGCCCTGTTGTGCTTGGTGTGTTTGCTTTGGTTCTTGTGCATCTTTTGCTTTTCCTGATGTGTAACCAGTGCACAGCCTGCCCAGGCAGGTGATCTTACCTTCTCTGTAGAAGCAACCTGGCTGAATCAGTACCAAAGCAGCTCAGTGCAGCAATGTGTGGGGAATCTTGTGCAGGTGTTGTCCATATGTGCTGGGTGCATGCCTGGAAATGGGAAGGCTGATGGTAAGTTTTTTCATCTGTCAGCATATCATTTTTCACAAGGAGTGGAATTTTTTTGAAGGCTTAAGGGAAGGACAAATTCTGTTCAAGGTTCTTTCATTTTATTACTGTAAGATTTATGGCATTGCCAAGCCCCTTCTTTGGACTGATACCAGACCTGCCATCCCTCATCCATTTGGAGTGCAGAGCTCTCTTCCTTTATTTTTCCAGCTTTCATTCCAAAGATGGAAAAAAAATCAGCATTTGAACTCTTTTTTGAAGGGATTAGTTCATTCAGTCCTTTTTTCTAAATTAGAAAGTAAGGAATTCTTTAAGGGGACTTTGAGATTTTCATAGTTTTACTTTACATCCCACAATAGGGTTTTCAGTTTTAGAGCACTAACATATTTCTCCTTGCATTTAACCAACTCCCTGCCCTCTTAAAGTTGCTTTCTCTGCCTCAGTTCCCTTCCCCCTCTAGGCTTGAAGCTGTTACCTTTTGGCTTGGATCCACCCATCCTGACACTGAAATGAGGGCCTCATTGAAGAAAGCATTCCAGGAACAGTTTATCCTTTGCTAGTTGATAGAGATTTTTAAATGCAGGGTTGCTTTTTTGGCTTTTCTTTCTTAGAGCACTGAGCTGAGGCCAAGTGTGTTCCCAGGCACTGTGGAATTCCTCAGCAGCTCACTTTTTCCTGCCTGTTCCCAAAGCTGGATGGGGAGGGACCCTGTCATGTGCCCTGGCTCTTGAGCCCTGTGCCTCAGCACCAGGAGGAGTTGGCTGCCAAGATCTCTCCAAGTCTGACCTTTTCTTGGAGCATGGTTATTTCAGCATGCTTTGCTCTTTATCTTGAATCACAGAATGCCAGGTTCTCTGTGAACAAAAGCAATTTTCCTAATTTACATGTGTCTTTCAGAATGTCCCTTCCTGAAGAACAGAGGGGAATCCATTCTTGTATCTTGCATTCCACCCTGCATATTTTGTTAGGAGTGCCTAATTAAGTATGTTAAGTGCTAGTTCTCAGTAATTGATATCACTGAACCACTCATTGCATATCTAGGGAAAACAATAGACACAACTTTCTAACAAGCTGATCATAGCCACCTAGGGGAAGGTGTAATTTTTAACTTCCAGCAAGGTTTAAATGACTGGGAACGAAGTCCAGACAAATTATTTAGGTCGTTACAAAATGAGGCTCTGAGTTGTAATGCTTTTAGGCTGCCCTTCTCTCTCTTCTGTAGCCTCAGGCACTGAATTAGAGCTTGTGCATATATTTGGTTCCTATCCTGGTTTTCTTCTGGCTCAAAATCACAGGTGTGTTGTTTTTTGCTGGATTGTCCTTTTGTACCTGTCTTTGGTTTGCTGCCACAACAAGAGACAGAGAATCCTAAGGAGAACTGCTATAAATGCATATTCATGTTTCTCCTACCCTTCCCCCAGTCTCCACTCTCTCCCTCCCACCCCTTCCCAAATTCCATTAATATTTACAGAACAAGAGCCAGAACTCCAGCATTAATCTCAAATTCAGGATGAGATTTTTCTGGCTCTATCTGCAGCTAATGCAGAAGACAACAGAGGTTAGAAATGCACTTTAAAAAAAAAGAAAAAGAACAAAAGGCCTTTTCATATTCAACACACTGGATGGATTGTGTTAGGTATAAATAAGCTTTCAAAGACCAGAGCATATGTAAAAAAATATTACATGTATTGTTGTTGGAAGGCAGAGGAACATTTATTTGCTTACTGAATGCATTGAAAGTTCCTGAGCTTTAACTTATGTAAACTCATTGTTTCTTCAGATTTTGTGTGTGGAGAAAACAGTTCCTTTTTTCGTCTTACTGGTTCATGTAGAGATAAGCAGTAAAACAAAAAGTCAAATGAACAGAAAGAGAACTGTGTTGATAGTTACGTGCCAGCAATGTACAAACTAAGCATTTGTAAGGAAATGTCTAAACAAACTTCAAAACCAGTGAAGTTTTGCAAACATAAATTTCATAAACAAACTGAAATTGAGTGGAGTGAAGAGAATGAAGAATTCAGATAATTTGCATTTGTTCTCTTTGACCCCAAACTAAGTATTTTCTTTCATTTTCATTGTTAAGTGCATAGAATGTGTTATTAACCATTTTGAATTGACTTTAAAAGCCAAAATCAAAGATAAATATTACTGTTCTTCCAAATTGTTTTGTTTCAATGTTGGTTTATTCGCTGGAAAGTATTTGCTGACTTCTGTAGTCTGCCCAGGCACTTACTCCTCTGTGAGCCCTGTCCTTGATTGTTTCAAGAGTCTCTTTTCCCTGCCATGGGGAGGATGCCTTGTGTCCCTGTCCAGTTGCTGTGTGGTTCTGGCTTCTGGTGACCTCAGTGAGTTCTCAGCAGACAAATTGGTAACTGTGTCAAGTAAGGGATTGTGTCCATCTGGTTGTGAGGCCAAGGGTTATTTCAGAGGACAGAAGCTGATCTGAATTCTTTAAATGAAGAAGGAGTTCATGTCCTATGTCCTATGGAAGATTGTTTGGCAAAGCAGTCTGGAGAAGCTGACTCTGCAGTATCCGTGTGCTGTTCTTCCTCCAAGGAATTGAGAGAACATATTTTAGCAAAGGATTCCTCAATCCATCCAATACCCCAAAATACATAAACACAGAAAATATTGGTGGTTTTCTTTTTTTGCCCTTTTCAATATGGATTCATTTATTCTTAAATTCCAAGAAAATACCAATACCCATCAGTCTATCCGGTAGTCTGGAAGTTTGTATTATTTGTTTTTTTGGGAAGGGCTCCCATATTTTTTTCTCATCTCTCTGGCATTAGAATTGGCTTATCTCACTTTTCTGATGAACCTACATTTTCCAGATAAATGAAAACATAGGGGTTTATTTTTCAAAACTGAAACAGTTGGATTGCCTTTTTGCTTTACTGGGATAAGCATCCACGATGCTCTGGGGAATGGAGAATGATCTAAAATAAGCCTAGCTGTTTTTTGTTGTTTATCTGTTTCTTTTTGCATCTGTCTTAGTATTTATTGCTACCATCTGTGTTTCATTTCAGGTTGTCTAATGTCTCATTCTGCATGTTCTTTGCCTATTCTTTTTACATAGCCTTGGGCTGTAATATCACCATTTGCCTACAAGAGATCCATTTCTATCTGTAACAAAATGAATTGCATTCATCTGTATAATTCATTTCTAATGAATGCCTTGCTCCTCATTAAACAGTGATTTACCTTTGTTTCCCTTTCCTACACTGTCAACACAAACCATTTTGAGGTCCTGTGGAGAGATGCTAATTTGAGAAAGCAAAAGTCAATGCAACTAAGCACTCATAGGGACCATCCTCCTTGGCACTTTCAAAAATATTCATGGGACATGTTGCAGAATAAAATTTGCAGGTGGATAGGAAGACTCAAAATATTTTCCTGTTCATAAGTTCTCGGTGTACGAAGGCAATGCTTGACAGTTTAAATGCAGTTCTCCTTGACTCTGCCAGGAGCAAATGAATCTTCTTAGACCTTGTCTGTTCTGCAAGAATTTTACCTATCACAGGCACGTTTTGGGAGAGTGTACTCTTGGTTCACTGTCCCCTCTCCACCTTTTCAGGAATATTAAAATATTTTGAATGTATTTTCAGATTAATATTTTTAAATACCTAATTTTGAGATACATCAAAATGTTACAGATTTGAAAATACTTTATTTCAAATTTTTAATGAGATGCAAAGATTTATTACCTTTGCCAATAGTATCTAAAGGAAAAGGATGAAATCCATTAATTAATGAAATAGGGTTGTGGAGTAATTTTGTTACAGATTTGGTTCTTATGCAGCTTTTGTGTAATGCACTTTGAGGCTCTCCAGCAACATTCCCTTTTCCAGCCCTGCACTTTGCAGAACAGCAGAATCTGCCATGTGTGCAAATAGATCTGTGCTGCTGACAGATGATGGTTAGAGTATGGGATGAATTACCAAGTTTATTTTCACTTTAACCCTAAGCAGATTTTGAACTGCAGCAATGGATTATGAATATGAAAATAGCATTGGTAAACATAATTTAGAGCAATGCAGGAAGTTTTATTTACAGCCTCTTCAGCTCTTACTTTGGTAATAGTACAAGCCACTCATCAACACTTTCGATCACTTGAATTTAGCTTGGCATTTTTCTGTATTTATCTGTGTGTTGGGCCAGCCTGATCCCCAGTTGAAACTCTAGAATTGCCAGTGGGCATCAGTGGATTTACACCATGGACTAATTTGATCATGGTATTATGAGGGGATTGGAGCATGGGAGGTTGGGTTTTTGTAACTGGTCTTGCCTAAATCATGTAATATTTGAAAGTAAGAACACTTATTAATGTAACAAAACCTTATTTTTAATATACATTTTAGAGGACAAAACTGACCTTGAGAACAGTGTGATGCAGAAGAAAATTAAAATCCCCAAACTCTCTCTCAATCACATAGAAGAAGCTGGGGAAGTTACAGATTATGGGGAAGAAGATGTGGAGCTTAGACACAGTAAGGTACTGAAGTCTTTCTGTTTTTTTTTTCCTCCTCTCCTTTTTTTATCTTTTTTTGTAAGTGCTTGGGGCATATATGAACATCCTAGTTTAAGAATTCCAGGCTTGCTTTTGATCCCCTTAAAACAGTGTGTTTGGTGAAATTGGGTCACATTGTGTGTGGGGGTGGGGTATGGGTTTTCAAAACCTGATTTAAGTGCAGTCAGACATTTTCCTGTGTATACTGTCTGCACAGTGTAACTGCCACCTGGGACTGATGCAACAATGCTCTTCCACTTTGGCTCAAAATGCCTTAAAAGTCACCAGTACCAAACTGTACCAGCTGTTCTTGGTGGCACTTGTGACATTGCTCACTGCTTGTTTGGCATTGGGAAAGGTGCTCTGAGACTGCCCAACTACAGTGATTGAGAAGAAGAATTGACAGTACTGTATCCCTCCATAATAACTCCCAGTTGCCTTTTTAGGTTCAAATGCCAGGAACCCACTATGGAAATGTATTTATTTTTTAATATCAAATTATTTCTTTAAAAGTCTGCCAACCTTCAGAATAAGATACTGCTCGATGGTTTCATGTGTTTTGCAGCTGCAGGAGTGATATTAGTACATTTCCTTGTGTATGGAGAAAACACAAGGAATTTGTGTTGGGCCAGCTTTTTTTAATTGTTAATTTTTTTTTAGAAGATGAATGCTGGAGGTGTAACATCAAATAATTTTGTTTTCTACCACATTACTCATGATATTGTGGTATGGGAATTTGATATGAGTAGAGCTTCTCACCTCTACTCTGTGAGCTGCATTTACTTTCCTTGCAGTTGCTTGGAAATTCAAATGCCTTTTCTTATTTGGCCAGTAAAACTTAGTGACTTTACGTGTACTGTCACATATTAATCCCACTATCCAGGCCCCAGGAAAGTGGTGTGATTTAATTTGTAGGGTTTGTGCGGATGACTGAAGGTAAAATTCCACTGAGAGTTGCCAGGTCCTGAAGCCTCTGCAATGCAGTACTAATATAGAAGGAATCAGTTGATAAGGAAGATGAGGCTGGATGATATATTCTGTCTCCAGCTTCAGTGTTTTCAAATCCCTTTCAGTGTTTGCTGATAGTGTTAACTCAGTCACTGGCATCAGGCAGTTGGGTGAACTTGCTGTAGACAAAAACTCAGTGAAGGTTTTGTCTCCCAAAGTGTGGGAAGGACAAGCCCTCAGTTCACAGAACAGCTTTGTGCCTGTGCTGCTTTCACCTCTGATGTCGTCACAGGTGACAAACGGAGACCACAGTTGTTCTTTCTCTTGCTTATCAGAAAATCAATTGCTGTCAGGAATCTGAATGTTAAGGGTAAACTTAAAAGAAAAAGAGATGTAGATCAACTTTTTCAAAAATAAATTAATGATACAGAATCAAATGACCTATATACACTGCCTTTGTAAGTGTTGCACAAATGCAGGAAGGCCTTTAACTGCCTCAGAAATTTGTACATGCATTTAGCTGAGTTACAACTGCGTGTTAGTTATGCTGCGTATTATATCCATAAGAACCTGTTAGGCGAAGTATTTTTGCAGACTGACTTTGTCTTAGTCTTTTGGAAGACAAAAATATTGCCAGTTCCCAAGACTCTCCTAATTTATTTGTTTTTTATTGTAACGTGCAGAGACAAGATGGGAGGAAACAAAGTGAAGGTACACACAAAAGCATTGAAGCAGTTGTTGCTCGCCTTGAGAAACAGAACGGGATGAGTCTCAGTAATACTTCCAGCCCTGAGGAGGCTTTTATGGAGGCTACAGAAGGCATGAACAATATGGACAATGCTGTAGTTCCTCGGATTCTCTATGAGGAATTGCTGAGGAGTTACCAGCAGCAACAGGAAGAGATGAGACACATTCAACAGGAGCTTGAGAGAACGCGGAGACAGCTTGTGCAACAGGCAAAGAAGCTCAAGGAGTATGGGGCACTCGTGTCAGAAATGAAAGAGCTCAGAGACTTGAACAGGAGGCTCCAGGATGTACTGCTCCTAAGACTAGGTAGTGGTAAGTGCCGGACTTAAGTGGGACTAGTTTGAATGAATTTTGCAGGTGTGATCAATAGTCATGGAAATGGATTTGAAGAATAGCAGTGGTTGTGAAGCCGGACATTGAATGTTAAAAGGGTTTTCTGCTGTGGCTGTACAATATGTGTCGAATTTGTATGCTATGTATGTCTGGGGTTTTCTTTAAAAACTAGAGGTCTTTGTGCTGGTATGGCTGAATCAGAGTTCCATTTTAAGCAGCTGTATTATAAAGAGTCTCTGACCTTCTAATATATGCTGAAAAAGTTAATAAAGCGTCATCTGCAAAATATACCAATATGTTCCAGTTAAAAAAAAAAAAAGTAAAGAAAAGGTGCTGGAATGAATAGTTGGGCTAAAATTAATTTATCCTTTGCAGTTAGGGATTTTGTTTGTTGTTATGTGACTATGTTACCTTCCATTTTCTGACCCCTCTTCCCATTAGTAGCTTATTAGAATGTGATATATTCCTGAAGTTTTAGCAGTGGCTTTAAACAGCCATGCTATTTGGAAAACAATGGATTGTTAAAAGCATAATTAAAAAGGCTTTATATTAGTGTCCCGCTTATCAACACTTGTTGCAAAATACAGGTTTTTGTAATTTGGATTTCAGTTTTAAATATCTTGGGTCAATTGCTCCTTTGTTTGGGTTTATAACAATTATTTAAGCATTATGTTGGAATAAATGGGAAAAAAGACAAAATAAAAAGTTCATCCGTTTCATTGAAGATGGTACCCTTGGAATACCTTCAAAAATTTGACTAAGTACATTTATTTGCAATTAGAATGTGGTACTGCTGTGTTGAAGATTTGCTCGGTGACTGAAACTTGGTTGAAATCTATGCATCCAAACTTAGCATGCCATTCTTATGTCTGCCTTTGTGTATCTGGAAACTTAATTTTTGCATGTGAGTTGGATATTGGCTCTTCTCCTGGACTGGAACGAGTGCATGCAATTTGCATGTGGGTCTGAGTTACCCTCACGTACAGAGCTGGACCTGGGAGAGCATGTGCCTGTGCTGTAGCATGTGTTCAGGTGTGCCCACACCCTTGGAGCCAGGTTAATGGAGTGTCCCACAACCTAAACTGGGTGTCTGATTGTGAATGCTCATCATTGTTACACTGTGCACAATTAAAATGTCGTTACTTACCATAAACATTCTAGTTAACTTTCTAAATAAAACTAAATAGGCAAGGTTGCCGCAGCCTGAAAAAGACGATGTGGTTGGCAGGAGATTCCACTGAGCTTTCTAAAATTTTCCTTGGATGGAAAGATGTTTCTTCATCTGCAAGTAGTTAGCTGGAATTTATGGGAATGGAGCACGAGCCAGATGTTGGTAGGCAATGGGGCTGAACAATGTAAAGTACCAATTTAGTTGGTAGACTTGACAGCAGTTGGAGTGGTGAGGCCAGCAGTGAAATGAAGACAGCTACTGAATTCTATCTCTTTTCTTTCACTTTAAGAAAAAGAAGATGCATTTTTTTGCTTCAGCCAAATAAAGAAACCTTAGGAGAAAAAGAGAAAAAAGAAAAAAAAAATGAAAAGAAAGAGGAAAAGAAACCCTGGGAAAAAAATACTGAATCTTCTCTAAATATTGGGCATGCATTTCTATTGTATGTATCAGTGTGACAACTGAAAACAAGTCCCAGTTCCGTTGAAGACAAGTTCTTTAAATTTAATCACATGCCTGGAAAAATATCAGCTATATGACACTTCCAAAATAAAATTCCTTGTTAATATTACTTTTAAGGAACATTGGATGGTAAAGGTGGAATTTGGCCGTGCTGGCTTTGTCCTTCACAGGGTTTGAATTTCCTAAGACTCAGTGTATTAACTGTTGCTTACTCTGTTGTTTTTCCTTTTAGCCTCATTCACAGCAGAGAAACAACCATGTTCTAGAAAGATCAATACAAAACTTATGAATAATTAGCAAGGGAGACATCTTCAGCATGTTCTAAATTAGAGAGTCTGATGACAGTATGAAAAAGTACTACTTTTAATCAAGAATAGATATGTAAAGACTTTTTTAGTCTTCCTTACTTTTCCATCTTATAAATGAGGTATGTTTGGGTATGTGAATAATCTCTGAAAATTGTTCTGAAAATAAATTACATCCTGAATTCATCTGCAGTTGCAGTGATCTCTTAAACCTAGAGTTTCAAATTACATGTAATTTATGTTACACTGCACTTCTAGCAGGCTGGACTTAATGCAAACTAATTGCATTTCTGTTTCACCTTAGAGATTTGTGATTTCTTTGCATGAGATGACAGCTGGTTTGTGCTGATGAATTGCAGCTGTGGGAAATGCTTGCCTGTTGCCATTTTAAACTTGCAGATCAAATATAGAACAGTCTCTTGAGCTAACGTGCAGTCAAGTAGTCAGTCTCCTGATTTCCCATCAACGTGTTGAATTCAGTGAGGAGCTGGAAGTCAATGCATTGTACTTGAGATTTAGGCCTTCAGCTCTGCTACTAAACTGGAGCCACTTTTGTGGCAGGAGTGAGGAGGTTCATCTTCCTCATGGTGACACCAAATTGCTCTTTGTCACAAAAGAGCCTTGGAGGCGGCCATGGCAAACTACAGCAGTGAAATCAGTACTGATCCATGGAGAAATGCTTAATACCATCTTTATGATTTTAGTATATTATTTCCAGGCACATCCCTTCACGGAGGAGGCAGGCATTTCACCAGGGCTCTAGGGACCAGAGCAGTGGAAAATGGGATGACTGTTGTGGAAAAGGTTATGGTGTCCCTCCTGACCTCCTGGAATACTGTGTGCAGCCCCTTGCCTTGCCCACGTGGGGAGCTGGAAGCCCTGCAGCTGTAGGCCTTTGCAGTTTGTTTTGTTGCACCTGAAAACACACCTAATTGGCCCTCTTTTTATCATTAGAGAGTAGGATAATTTAAAGAATTAAATAACTGACTCTCCCCTGTAGGGACTTTAAATAGCACTTGGATTGCAAAAGAAGAATTTTAATAAATTCTTTAAAAAATAGCTGTTTCACAGGCAAGATCTGTGCCATTTCCTATGGCTGGAAATATGGTCAGAGGTACTGAAGTTCTATAGGGATAATGCTTGGGTGTTTTTATCTCCCTGATAATTTCTTCAGCTTCATGTTAGATTGCTGAGAATTAGTGTTGCTCCAAAGTCAGGTGGTATATTCACTTTCATTCAGAAACATTGATTCATCAGCATGTGCACACAGACCCCCAAGGTTTTATTTTTAATCCCAGTTTAATTTTAGTGATCCAGTTTGCAGTGTCTTGGGACTGACACCAGAGTAGGGAGAATGAAATGGGATTTGTGTCTTACCCACATGTCAGGAATTACTGTTTTTCAGCTTTTCTACATTTGTTTGGCTTTTTGATGGTTACAAAAAAAAGGCCCAAGGTTTCTTTCAAGTACAGAAAGTACCAATATTACCACTTCTCACACTTGTGTTGTTTTGCTTCAAATTCTGGTAGACCATGTGCAAAAACTTACTGCTTACAAATGTATGCTGACCACTTTATCAGTCAATTTGTTTTTACTTTCTTACTAATTTCAGAAGTAGCATGTAGCCTAAGATGCATTTTTGAGGAAAAGGGAAGGTAAAGGGAAGCCTTCTACCTCTTCATCCTGATTTGAGTTTGCTGGCCTCTTGGATATTCTAAAAAACAGCAGTCAGGAGAAAGATTTTGCAATAAAACATTTGTTTCCTTCTTGCATTCTGAAAATCGTCTTTTTTTGGTTTTCCCTGATCCTTATTACATAAGTGCTGTCATTGTTAAGCCTTTAGATGGAGGTATATATTTTTGTATGTCCCATTCTTCTTCTTTAAAATAAGATGCAGAGAGGGGGAGCTTGGAGTGTGGTGAATGGGGCACAGTGCTCTGTTGGCAGGCAGGAGTGCAGGCTGCATGTGCAATTCCCAGCCTGCAGGGTTGAAAATGCAGAGTTTAGTGGTTGTGGAAGTGGCTGTGGAGACTGCCTGGTTAGAGGCAGGTTTCTGTTTGGGAATCAAAAATCAGAATATAAAAAAGAGATTTTAAAGGCTTTCTTTTGGTGACTTCTAAGCAAGTGGTTAAAGCATGAGTTGGAGCAGAGGTATTCTGACCTGTGAGAGCTGTGGTTGTTGTGGACTTTAATCAGCTTTTTCCTTGGGGAAGCTCTGGAAACCAAATCCCAGCTGTGTCAATATATGACTAAAAACAGTAAAAGTCTTCTAAATAGGGAGTAGTAAAAGTGTTTAAAGGGAAATAAATGTTTCCTGCTAGGAAGAGGGTGGTTATACTTAGGTGTCTCCCTTAAAGTGACTTTCGAAGTATAAGAAAATAGCCCTTTGTTGAAGAATGTGAAGTAACAGCTTCAGAGATGACTTCTTAAGGTCACACTGGCAATTACGTCCCTGCATCTGCTTGTTCAGCTGTGCCCATGCTGAGGGCAGGCTTTGGGTGCTTTAACCAGTCCAGGTCTTCCCCCTGTCTCAATCAGCTTTACAGTCTGAAGTTTAGGAAGTTCAGTTTGTCTTGGCTGTACTGTTGTATATTCATGGTACTAGAGGTGTTTACTAAGATGACTATGAAATTAAAATGCAAATGGGATGTTTTGTGATTTCTCTGTTTGTGCCATGGGGCTGGCTCTTAAGACCCTCTTGTTGGTGGCACTGCAGCGTAGGATTGTCTGAGTTGCCAAGACAACTTTTAGTCATTGGTGAGCGTGGAGTGGCAGCCAGCTGAGAACATTGAGCTGGCTCTGTAGGTGTAGGATAAGCTATAGGATAAATGTCAAATGCTGACAACGGAGGAAGCACTGCTATTGCTGTATAATAATCTCTAAATGAAACTGCACAAAGTAGGAGGGATGAATGCTGTGCTTGTTCCAGGCACAGGAACTATTTAGGATGCGTGACTAAGACCTGAGCTGTGGTGCCAGCGTGACTTGCAGAGTTGGATCAGCTCAGGGCTGGGTCTGTGTGCACAAACACTGAGCAGGGAGCTCAGGGGTGACCTCCTGATCGAGTTGTCACTGGCTGAAGATGTCAGGGTTGGGCTGCAGAGTGCTGCAGGGTCTCAGCACCAGCCTGGGACAATTAGCACTGACAAGTGGGTGAGTTTGTCCTTAGAGTTCTGGACATGGGGTATTCCATGGTGTCCAGAGTGTAACCTTGCTGTGCTGTGGAGCCACCGGCCCTGCATGGAACTTGAGTGCCTGCTGGAGCTTCTTGGGATCCTAGAGCCACACATCAAGGGACACTGATAGGCTTGGGGCCATAGCCTAGACTTCTGGTGGAACCCCTGCAAGGAATGGAGTCAGGAAATGCAGTTCACAAATCACTTAAGTTTGTTCTTCTGTCCTTTTAGGAACATTTTATGTCTTCAATCTGGAAAAGTTGATGACTAACAAAATAACTAATCCACTTTTAAGTCTCAAACATATGCTTAGTAGTATTCCGTTGTTTAATTTGTGCATTATTTTTATTGATTCAAAATAAAAATCAGTGTTGGATGAATTGGACAAATCAAAATTCTAATTTATGTGAGGTTTTTTAACCTTTGATATTCTTTCTGTGCATGATACTTCAGCATAAGGAGCCTGTTTCCTTCATAGCATTTCTGCAGATCCTCCCTAATTTTATACACCTCTGTTATATCTAAAGATATTTTGGATTTCTATAATATTTGTAATTCTGTGTGGATAATTTATGTAATTATCACAGTATATTATTCAGGTTCCTATGCAACTATATGGCAATTCTTATTTGAAGAATTACTATTGTTGCTTTTGCTTTATAATTTCAGTGTAATTTTAACATAATTTCCTTAGTGTGAAGAAATCTTACCCATATCTGTAATTGTCCTTATGCTTTAGGACTAAAATTAAACACTTAAATTAAAATTAAACATTTTAATGTTTATAAAGCAGGAATACTATCCTGCTTTTAGTTACTGATGTTCAGAAGTAGGATTTTGGTTTAGATTACTTCTAACATTAAATTGAACATGACTAATATGTTATTTTATGCTAATCATGGGTGATGAAGGGATTGATTTCATGTTCTCTGGGATAGCAGACAGCTCTCTTTTCTTAACTGTCTAGGACCTGCCATTGAGGTTGAAAAAGTAAAACCTGAATCAATTGAGCCTGAACCTGAGGTACAGAAGACCTTCAGTGAGGAAGCAAATACATCAACGTACTACCCTGCCCCTGTTCCAGTAATGGACAAGTATATTCTCGAGAATGGAAAGGTATTTTATATTAAATATAGCATGAGTCATTTTTAAATGTCCATCTGGTCATGTTCTTGTGGAATTTTCATTGATTGTGGGGGTGTTGCATGGTAGCAGCTTGTAGAAGCTTCCTCAGTTTTCATGAAGGTGTGCTGTTATGCTGAGGAGAATTGTGAAGTTACACAGATATGAAAAGCATAGAAAAATATCCTCTGTGGTGAGAGCATTGAATGATGTGCAACATGAGGAATATAGATGTTAAATAAATATTCATGCACAGGCAAATTGACATAGTCTTCAGTTGGTGGCATCCATAAATACACCAAATATTGACCAAAGTCAGTAACCCATGTTATAAAGTTACTTAACCAAATGAGTCTACTTAACCAAAATACTTCTTCCTAAAGGGTTTTTAATGTTTATAATGTGCTGTAGTCATATTGCAGAGAAGCCCTCATGTTTGAGTTGGAGTGCAGAAGGTAGTTGTGAACCCTGGAAGGAAAATGGGCTCCCTTGCTGCTGGTAGGAGCATTGCCACTGAATTGAGCTGATGTAGTGCTACTTTCCAGAGACTTTGTGAAGTTGCTGAAATACCATCTAGCTCTAGTTTGCTAGGACCTGACTGAGAGCTTTTCAGATTTCAGCCTGTTTAACACATTAACTGCTCATCTACCTAGGCCTGCTTTTACAGCTGTTTTCATAATCATTACATAAATATGATGTTTCTTCTACAAAACTGTAATTCCTTCAGAATTGCCTGTGCAGATCCTGTTTCTCGGTGTATAGAGATGCATTTGGTACCATAATCGGAAAATCTTTAGGGAGGAAACATCCATTCCAGCTTTGCTGTGCAGTGGAATTACTGAAGGAATATAGCATGAAACTGCATTTTCAGATTGGTGTTAAAAGATTGACTGCACAATGTCTGTCCCTTTTGAGGAAGAATTCAACACAATCATTGGGGACAGAATGTACGTGAAAAATAGTAGAATCTTGACAGTTTGACAGGTATTTGGTTCAGATAGCTTTTCTTGCCTAATATATTTAAATATGTTATTTCCTTGATTATTTTGTGTAAATTTGTGCAATGAGTGCTTAGGGTGTATTACTGTGTGAGTTTCCTCTACCTCCTTCTCTTCCACTTAAGGTCTATGGGATAGGGCACATCCTTTAGTATTTGTATGCAGCTTTTCCTGCACCCTTTTTTCATCTGTCAGCTTCTTGGCACTTCTTTTGCTGAAGTTTTCTGTCATTGCAGATATTAGCATCTCTTTAATTTTCTTTTTGTAATTTTGCTTCTTGGTTTGCCTATTTAATAGGTCTACAGCCAGCTCAGATGCCAAAAATGTGAACTAATAATGTATTTGGAGTGTTGGAGGGTAGTTTTCTTCAGTTTTCCTTGTTTATGGCTTTATTTCAGTATTCCTTTATTGATATGCACCACTAGAGTAGTTGAAGTACTTTTTTTACAAATCTTACCCTTTGTGGCACCAGATTTGATCTTAGTAGGATTCTTTCAGAACAGATAAATCTCTTCCCTCCAGAGGGAAAACGGAGTCACTGAAAAAGAGCCTATGGCATTCATTTAAAGAAAAGAAAGAAGAAGAAAGAAAGGGAAAAAAAGGGTTCATCTTCTGAGACACGTTTTAGATCTGTTGCAGATGTTAGCACAGCCACGCTGGTGAGCGTCGCTTTGAATTCGCTGCCGTCTCCGTTGCGTTGTGCTTGAAGGTTGATCCCACAGCTACTGAAATTGGGAGTAAATTTCCCATTGATTTCATCAAGACAAGAGTCTGGCTCATGGGGCAGCTCTTCCAGCAAGAGGGGAATGTCTGCTGAGTGTGGAGTTCACTGAGCTTTGGGGCTGATAGGAAACAGTAGGGCCTGTTGTAGAAAGGTAAACTGAGACACAGGCAGATTGAATTCCTCACCCTAACAGTGCTAGAAATAGAAAATGGAGATGTAAGATTGCTGTGGCTGTGGCTGTCTGTCACATAGTTGTAGTTGCCATAGGTGTTTCATACCAGCAATTGCTGTTTTAATAAATGAAGCATGTTAAAAGAAGAGATGATCATTCTGAAGCATAAATATTAAAAATACTTCCTGTAACTTGTTCTTTTCTTTTGAGTAACTTCAAGCTAATGAATAATGTAGTAGCTTTAGAGACTAAATAATCTTTGGCAAAGGCAAACCCTGATTTTGGCAAAGAGTTGGATTTTTGATGAAATACAGCGATGCCTACCACTAATGTAATACAAACACCCAAAATTTGCTATGTCACAACATTTCTAATCTAAGTTATTTTCTAGGTAACTTTCAGACATTTTCCTGAAGAACTTTTCCAAGATCTAACCAGAAATAACTGAATTAAAAAATGCACTGAAATTATTTTTGAGCACAGACTGCTCACTGCTCATTGAAGTTGCCTAACAAAATATGTAGAGAGCACCAAAAAGAGTGTGCCTTTTTAAAAATCATTTATGAAGAGGCTCAACAACAGAGAAAAAGGAAAAAAAAAAGAGGGTGTTTGTGTTGTGGTTGTTACTAGTTTAATTTCTGTCCATGCAGACTTGTGAAAAGCCTCCTAGAATCCCTTTAGTGTAGGAGATCCTGCAGGAGAGGCAGCTTGCTGCATGGTTTTATGCTTTAAGGAAGGTAGAGTTTTCTTTTTTCTAATATAGCATAGCTTGTAGTCAAACCATCATATTACTCTATTTAAGTTTTTAAACATCTAGTTGCTTTTGAAGGATGCCGTTATAACAAGAAATTTCTTGGGGTTATAGTCCTCATTAATAATTAAAGCAGGTTTCCATTTACAGGAAAAAGGGTATTCAGTTGAATACAGGCAGTAAAATGTTGGGTATATAAAATTTTACAGTAGCTTTGTCCAATTTTCATTGCATTTAATGGGACTTCTGTGATACTGCTCAGATTTGTGTGGGTAGCAGGCACAGTTTATGTAAAGCCAGATGAAATGAGTAAAACCACAGAAAACTAACAGCAGAGCAGTTAAGGCAAACAGTCTTCTCATGCAGTTTTGCTGTGGGATTTTGTTGATAGCATTTTTTTTAATCATAAGAAGGTCAAAAGTTAGTTTTAAGTGTTAATGTTGCAGAAAGAACCCCCATTGGACCAGACCTAATCAAAGCTAGATTTTGGCTATGTAGCAATCCAATTGTTTGGTATGTTGCACTTGTCCAGATTGTCTGAAGGTGAGTGCAGCGAGCTCTGGTCAGCAGCTGGGAGCTGTAGGTCACACCTTTGTTATGATGAGAGCAGATGTGTGTCCCAATGAGTGAAGTGCGTCAGCACGTGAACAAAGCTGCTGTGTGCACAGGTAGTTCAGGAGTGTGCACTGTACTCCAGGAGCTGGAGCATGGACAGCCAGGGTGCAAAGTGTTTGTGGTTCCATGCAGGGCCAGCGTGTGTGTCCTGGTTGCACTTGTGTCAGACTTGTCCTGGTTCCTGGTGGAGTTACCTCTGTGCTGGTGCTGGAAGGTGTCCTGAGGGTCAGGGCTGTCAGCTCAAACACGTAGTGGCAGCCTAAGGATGGTGCTTGGATTCTTGTATGGCATTTGTCCTAAGACTGGAGCACTGGCAATCTTGGGGTGGAGACATAGGGTAGCCCTGTGGGAGACAACCAGGCACAGTCAGTGCTGAGCAAGGCTAATAAGCAAAACCAGACTTGAGCATCTTTCTTATGGAGACTCTCCAGTGGCTTCACACTGTGTTTTCCAGTATCCATATTATCCTGCTTTACTACTTCAGTGAAATACCTCAACTTCCCATTGTTAAGATAATGGAAAGTTTATGATGTTGCTGCAATGGGTCATTGCCTAACCACAAAACAGTATTCATGTGGTGCATTTACATTGATTGTACATGATAGGCACACTTTGTGTTAGAACTGGAAGTTTTACAAAGCTTCCAAACTCTCCTGGCTTATATTGAAATTGGAGCTCTCAAAATCATTTCTCCCAGTTACTTCAAACAATCAGGCTGGCTCTTACCAACAGGTACAGAATACAATTTAGGAAGTAATTCTGTCTCTACTGCCTCTGGAATATGCTTTGGGTAAAGTGTTTTAGCCAAAGGGAAGTGTTTCATCTTGCTCCTGAATTAGGCTGGTGCAACTGCTTGGTTTATATGCTCTGCATAATTATATAATACTGGATGTGTTCACTGTTTCCTTCTCCGATCTCTGTTCCTGACCACAGTCTTTCAGGAGAGAGGTTATGTGGGGGGGAAAAGTAGGGATTACTAAAAGGAACTATATTATTTATTGAGGTTGACTTGAACTCCCTGACCCACAAAGTTGGAAGAGTTTCAGAGTTAGGCAAAATGAATTTGTTCAGCCCTAATTACTGTTATTTTAGTTCCTAATATTAATGTTCCTACAGCACTTGGATACTGTTGTGTGCTACATACCATAGATAAGTTGTTATTATTACTACCTTCTAGGTCCATCTTGGCAGTGGAATTTGGGTAGATGAGGAGAAATGGCACCAGCTGCAAGTAACACAAGGAGATTCAAAGTATACAAAAAATCTAGCGGTTATGATTTGGGGAACAGATGTTCTCAAGAACAGAAGTGTCACAGGAGTTGCAACCAAAAAAAAGAAAGATGCCGTTCCCAAGCCACCTCTCTCACCTCACAAATTAAGCATTGTCAGAGGTAGGTTATTTGAAAACTTTTGCTTCCTGCTTTGGACTTTAACCATTAATCACCGAGTTGAAAGATGCTTCTTTTCAGCTCATTTAAAATTAACTGATTAAAAACTGTAATTCAGATTGCTATTGCATTGTGAAGTGCATACGTACCCAGGAGCAGTAGAACACATTGCAATAGCTGTGCACAGTGCAGGCCTCCACAGCTGAAGAGTTGTACATTGACTTCAGTAAGGTTTGAAAATCATCACTTTAGACCACTTGCAGGGCAGGACTCTGAGCCTGGAGAACAATATGTTGTTCTAGAATTCATTTGTAACATGCTGATTTTTTTAAAGTGCATATATTCCTTTAAACAAGACTGAGAGTAGCTTTACAACATTCTTTTATCCAGAACATAACCAGCTCTGGCATGAGGCACAGAAACCATTATAGCTGTGACTATAAAAATACGCATACCTTCAAAGGCAAGAAAGAACAGTTCTACCCTTTTAAGTGAAGAAAATGGAAATAGTAAAAATTAATTGTTGCACTTGAATTGGAATTTGGACAGGAAGTGTAAATCGCTGACCTCATCTGGTAGGGAAAATTGCAATGACACTTTCAGTAACTGCAAGCCTGAGTCCATGTGTGTAGTACTTTGAGAGAGAGGAGGCTTTCTCCTTTATTTAAACTGAATGGTGAATTTCAGTCCCTTTGTATCATCATGCCTGTGTTGCATCATTTCTGTCTCTCTTGGTATTTCAGGCTTCTTTTTAAGTCAGAACTGAGTTGTTTCCTCATGGAATGCATACTGAAATTGGATTTTTAGGTTTTGTGTTCATACTAAATTGCAGTAGGGCTGAAAGAAACCTCCCCATTTGGTAGAGCTTCATTATTCTACTTTTCCTGTTCTTAGTTGCTATGTGCTCTTAACTGTGAACTCATTAAGAGGTGGTGTAATTGGCCATGAAAGTACCATGTTTTGGAGTAAGAAATACAGTTCCTCTCTGAGTGTGTGCGTGTGTCTGCGTCTGTGTTGTGTGGGGAGAAATTGGAAACTTATCTCCGTACTGTCATCTTTCTTAGTTTATAGGAAATGAGTAAAGGGTGTAGGTTTTTGTGTTTTTTTCACTAAGCTGCTTCAAGATTATATGTGGAAGTGGAAGCTGTTCCATGCTGATTTTCTAGCTCTGTCTGGGGTCTTAGGTACAATCCTTACAGATGTAGCTGGGCAGTGACGTACTGGCCACATAAGGAATCCACTCTGTGGCAGTGGCTCTCCCAAAGGGGAAGCAGAATTGGTTGCCCTGGTGTGCGTTTACAAGCACGCAGCACAAGGGGGTTATTTTCCACTGGCCCATTGCAATGTGGTTTCCAGTTTCCCTGCTGGAGGCTTTTGCTCCTCAGTGCTGCTGGCAAGGTTGTTTCTGTGAGAATTTCCTCTTCTACTTTTGTCAGGGTTACTCCAATGGCTCAAGCCATTTAAATGACAGCTTTCTTCTAACTCCCCTTGTTTTGGCTACAGTGAGTTTGGGAGTCTGCTCCAACAGGTACATGATGAGAGGCAGATGGGGCCCTTCCCTTTCTTCTCTTCCATACCTTTACACTCACCAGCAATTCAGCTCTTCCCTATTTCCTCGTTTTTCTGTGTTTTCTGTCATACTTCTGCTTCAAGCCTCAACCCTCATTTGAATTCTACTGTTACATGCCCTGGTTTTCCATGTTCCTCTTTTTAGTGTTTCTTTCACGTTGTCTCTGGTTCCCCTTTTGTTAGACTACAGCCTGTACAATCTCCTCTTGATCCAGTTAATCTGCATGGCCAGTGTTGGAGGTGTCAGGCTGCCTGTATCAGTGGGACTGGGTAGTTCATAACCATGATTTTCCATGTTGTCGTGTCCTTTGCGTCAGTGTTAGCAGGTCTTGCCCCACCATGGAGAACAAAGCAAAACAAAACAAATAAATGACCAGCAAGGGGAGAAATAGTTGAGATTTGAGGGAGTGTTCCATAGCCAGTGATTTTTATCATGCATCACAAAAAGCAGTGAAGCTCTTGGTTAGCCTTTGAGGTCTACTTGAATCTTTGGTATTCAGCAGTACAAAGGGGGGTCTCTGTGATCCTGTAAAGCCAAAAAACAAGGGAGCAGAACCTCCAAATTATTCTTTAAAGCCCTAAGCCATTGTCCTTATGCAAGCACTAAACTACTATTTCTGCACCCCCTCACAAAAATGGAAGAGATGGAGAGAAAAAACTGTGATCAAGGATCTGTCTGATTCACACCAACTTTTAAAATTACAGCTTTTGAATGAGTTGTGTTAAGTGATTCTTTGCTTGACTTTGTGGCTAAATGAACAACACAGCCTATCTTTCACTGGGAGTTCACCTTACTGGGTGTATCTGCCTGGGAGTGTTCTCACACCCTTGTAGAGCCAGCTTACGTCCTGCAAACACACTGCCTTTCTTCAGGCTCCCAGTGATGTGATGTGCCTCTTCTTAGGTGTTGTATTTCCAATCACAGTTTATGGAGGATCAGCATTTCAGCTATCAGGCTGCATGCTGGTTAATTTCATTTATTTTATATTCAGTACATCTTACAACATAAAATTCACATTGCTTTAGATGTTCTCATCATTCTGTGGACACAGACTAACTTATTTAAAATAGATTTTTGAATGACAACATTAGCTCTTAATGTGTCTGATATCTCTATAGCTTCTTAAAAATCCCCACTGTGTAGTATGTAATAAAGAAATGATAAAAAGTATGATGGATGTGCACTGTTATAAACCTTGTTAATGCAAAATAACCTTTTATAAAACTTCTCAGAGGTTTCCAAATGAACTACAAAACATGCATAGTACTTAATTTTCATAACTTTTTTAATATGGTGCATTAGAAATGTTGTAAAGCACATTAATTAAGCAATAATCTCTATGGCTTTCTGTATATGAAGCAATAAACAGCTAATGGAATAGATCACTAGGCAAAGCAGAACAGAATTTGTTTAACCAGTCTGGGAAGCCTACACAACAAAATACTTGGTCTGTTTATGAAAACCAAATACCCCAAACCTGCCTGTCACTAAGGAGTTATGTGTGTTGCTCCACTTCAGATTTCAGTAACTTCTGCAAGATTCTGGCACCAAACTTCCAAATCTGGGAAGAAAAATTGTCTCAACTTCCACTGCCCACATTGTTTTTGCAGTTACTGCTATCACTTGCTTTTTTATTCCAGATAATGTGTATTTCAGAATGTGTATTGATCAAACATGCAAGGAGATGGCACTTGTCCTGAATAATCCGCCAGTAAAAGTGAAATAAGCCCAGGGACAGGGCAGCTGATAAAGACATGAACATTGATATAGAAGAGATACAAAAAGTGAAATAAATAAGATGTTCTCCTGCTGTTTACTGCTTCTCTTCCTGAGCATTGTCATTTCCATACCCTGCTGAAGGGGTGAAGGTGGGAGTGACTCACTGTGGATACAGCTCTGGTGGGACACTTCACCTGGGAAGAGACTAAATCTGTTGTGGAGATTCAGACAGATGCAGGGGTCAGGCAGGCAAGGCTGGCACTGTAAAAGGTTGGGTTTAGCCTTGTTTCTGTATGGAAAGCCTATTAATGTAGTCACAGCATAACTGGAAGTTGGTCATGCCACTGATTCAAGCCTGGTGACAAATCCTGACTGAAACAAGATAGACAGTGAATCAAGGAAAGCTTCTCTTGTCTTGCAACAAATATACACAGTGCTTACTCACTGGTGTCTCTTGAGTAGTCAGCCCAACTCAGGGCTATTGTGTTTTCTAAAAATATCCTAATGACTCTTTCCTTTTTTTTTTCTCCCCAGAATGTTTGTATGATAGAATAGCACAAGAAACTGTGGATGAAACTGAAATTGCACAGAGACTCTCCAAAGTCAACAAGTACATCTGTGAAAAAATCATGGATATCAATAAATCATGTAAAAATGAAGAAAGGAGGGAAATTGCAAAGTACAATTTGCAATAAATTTTGGATTTTTAATAAAGTCTTAGTGTTTTACTTAAGTGTTGGTTTTTGATTTGTGTGGCATTTTTGCTGATGGGAGAAGCTGAATTGAAGCGTTGCTCTCTTCCTATAACTGATTCGTTTTTTGAGCAGTTCTGTCATGGTGTAAACTGCTTTTAACTAATGTAAGATATATTGTAAGTTCACTCCCAATGAAAACTGAAGTTTCCAAGGTTTCTCCAGCGAGTTGCAGTTTGTTACCTGCGGTTGTACATTGGTTCTGGCTCTGTGGACACCGACCCGTTTGCCCTGCGTTGAGTTTTGCTGGAGTTAGTGGATCTCAGCTGCAGTAAAACATCTGCTTAGAAGGAAGAACTGTACAAAATTCACTTTGCTATTGGAAAGGATTTTACTGTATTTTACAAAGTGTTTTTTTCTGAAATGAAATTTCAATCGTTTGTTTTTATAAATCTTTGTTTTGATCTCTAACAATATATTTGATCAAAAATACACAAAGAACGTTTCTTTTTCAATTATCTTGTAGGCAGATCACTATTACCATCACAGTTAAAAAAATAAAAACTAAACGATGAACAACAAAGAACCCAAAGCTGTAAGCTGTAAAATCATGATAATTCATTTTAACAAATAAATCTAAAACCACTTCTTTTACAGGGACCAAGACACTTCAAATTTCTGGTTGTGGTATAAAGTTTCTCAGTGTGTCCATACTGTTGTTCTTGAAATATTACCTTTTTAGTGTATTTGTACTTTCAAACAATTTAAAATTTGCCACACTATGGCAAGAGTATGTACAGTAGAAAATTTAGTACAATTTTGTTTGCGTCCATAATTTAAAAATGGACACTTTTAGCACAAATTTTAATTACAAATAAAAATAATTTTCTACATTGAAGTTAGACTTGCGATGCAAAGTTTTTAGAAATAATTTGTCATAAAAAATGTCATTTGTCATTGAACTATATGTTATTGCGTGTAAGTGAAGCAAAATATTCTCTTTTCATGAAGGATTTAGAGATAATTTGAGATCTGGATTGATGAATTTTGAGGGTTTGTGATCTCACTTAGCCTTCCATTTATTCTGTGCTCACAGCTGTGATTGTCTCCCTTGCAGCCTACCTGTTCCCAAGTGTCAGCATTTGTTTCTTTACCACTGCAATTCTGTTTCCTGTAGTCTTGAAAAACTTCCCATTTCTTATCACCTTCCTGTGGCACTGGTTCACCCTGAGGTGAAGCCTTTTTCAGTGTCCGATAATGTAGATAATGTGGAAAGGAACAGGCTGCTCGGGTGGACTCACTATGCCTGGAAGTATTTAAATGATAAAAGATAAAGATGTGGCACTTGGGGACATGGGTTAGTGGTGGGATAGGCAGTGCTGGGTGAATGCCTGGACTTGGTGATCTTAAAGGTATTTTCCAAGCTAAATGATACCATAATTCTTTAATGTGGAGGGATAGAAGGTAAGAGAATAGTGCAGAAGGCAATCTCACACCTGAGGACTTGCAGCTGTGCTCATCACCAAAGATTAAGAACAGCCCTGAACTTAATAGGCCACAGCTGTGTCCAATGAGGAGATGAGTGCTACAAAAGAGGGGGTTAGCTGGGGGAGAGGACAGCTGGAATTTGTTGGTTGTGCTGTGAAGAAGAGTCAGTGCTGTGAGGAGCTGTCCATGAGAAATCACTGAAAAGGTATGGGAGCTTTGAAATAAGATGGCGACATTTTAAAGGGCTGGGTGAGTGTAAGAAGAAGAGGAGGGGAGGAGGAGGAGTGCTAGACCTGCCCTCCCTCTCTTGGAAGAGATGAGACAAACAGCAGGTTGTTTCTCCCTGTACTTCACCTGTATGTAATTAGTGTCTTAACTCATAGCTAAGTGTTTGCTTTATGCTTTCTAAAGTCACTTTTATGGTTACCTTGCACCAGCCTCGTGCTGTGCTGCCAAACAGGAACATCAAATTTTCACCACTGGTGCACCTGCATTCCTGTCCCTTCCCTTAACCCCACAGTGTGACTGAACTGGTGTGTCAGATCCCATTGATTTCCAGGGTTCATTTCTCAACAGCTGCTTCCCATGGGATGGAGCCAGAGCTTTTGTGGTGAGGGGTGGAAAGAGCAGGAGTGTGTTTTTCCAGTGTCTTATGTGTGCCCTGAAGTTTCTTTGGATGGCCTCCCTTGTCTCCTGCTAATATCAAAAGTGTTCTTAGGTAGTGTTTAATGAAGTACATAAATGTTTATGTTTCCTAATTTGGGATGCTAAATAGCAGATTAGTGTTTAAAATGTCACTGCATGTATCCTTTTATTAATTAAAGAGAACAAATAGAGATAACACTGAAAAAACATTTAAACAGCAAGTTTCCCCTTTTCAAGCAGACTTGTGAATGTACAGGGTTGGTTTTTTTTAAGTGATACTAAGGCAACCCACTATTTTGGGGAAAGTGCCCATAATTTCCTTAGTATTTTATGGCTTTAGTACTAATGTGTTTCCATTGTAACACATTCTTTAATGAGAAGATCAAGCTGAACTTCTTAGAAGATAAGCCTATTTTATGAAACCTGGAAAAAGCAGCTTAGAATTTAATTAGAGTTAGGACTCCAGCCTGGCCCCAAAAATCAGAGGTGTTAATTCCTTCTGCAAAACCAGCATCACCTTTCTAGGGCTTCTCCTTGACGTACTTGTCCCATCAGATGTTAATACTGCATTTTGCTGAAGAATTAAAATGTTCTCTTTGGGCACAGTATCTTGGAAGACATCATTAAATTTTTCCTGGAGATTTCATCAGCCCAGGCTAGTTTTCATTTGAGTTCAACAGGGATATTTGAGTGGCACAAAAAAGTTCAGTTCCGTTTGAACCGTAGTGTCAATGGGGGCTAAGAAATGTGTCCATTGGAGTGGGCAAGTGGTGTTTAATGTGCCACTCGAAACTTTGTTGAGTCATGTTAAAGAAGTAGGATATATTAAAGGTAGAACATTGTGTTTCAACTTGAACTAAATCTTTGGATACTGAAAATAAGTTTTTTGCTAATAATAAGCCATTTCTGCACACTGTGGTTGTATGGCAGCGTGCTGGGTGCTCTGCAGGGAGTAATGGGTGTGTGAATAACATTTCATACTTTTATTTGGTCATTACTCTTGTCTTTTCCCTCCCCATGAGCCAGTATCAAGGTTGTACAATTGTTTCCTAGTGTGTCTGTTTGAAGTAGGGAAATAGGCTGCAGTTCCATGTTCTAGCAATACCCAAGAAAAATAGGAACTTTAATGAGGTGTGCTTTTCTGCATTGCAAAACTGATGTATAAATTAACTGTGAGTTTCATTTCATTTTCCTGCACTGCGTTTATGACCAGGGCTGTTCTTGTTGGTACATTAATTTTTCCATAATTGTGCCTGCCCGTACATAGTTTGCTTTGTTCATATTGTGTATGCTGTGAATCTACCATAGGAAACTATAGAAAATAGTCCCTACTAACTTTTTCCTGCTTTAGGGTAACTTCTTACCTGTACATCATGAGAAACAGGATAGAGTTTTGACAGAAAGTGAAGCAGGTTTTATTACACCCTGTAATACCCCTCATTTGTCATTCTAAGGTTTGTGCTATGCCATTACCTCATACTGTAAACCTGGATTTGTAAGGATCAGAAAGACATGGATTTAAGAGGAAGTGACAGTTTACTCTTTTTTTAATCAAAGCAGGAAGGAGGTATTGCTGTTATATGAATAATCTGATCTTCTGTTGCCACACATTGCTGCAGTAATTTGTGATATTCATGATCTGATCCATATTAAAGTGCCTCTGGCACACTTGCAAGGAAGCAAGATTAGAGTTAACAAAAAGGGCTTTATTTTCTATTAGTGATTTTATAAGGGATATGAGCTGTTGTGTTAAAGGAAAGAATCATACCAGGGACTTTAATAGCTAAAATCTAGCCACTCAATTAAAAAAAAAAAGAAAACTAGTATTTATTAGAGAGGGGAAAAATTTGTTCACTTCTGCTGTTCCAGAACAGGTTTGGATTTACTGATGCTTTATAGAGATGGGAGAGTTTTTAAAGAAAATAGTAAAATACTTATGTTGAAGTTGAACTCTAAGCAGGAATTCAAGGTTGCATTGGTTAGCTGTTGTTGGCTGTCAAAAGCAGGTGCATTCTCCCTGTGGGAGGTCACTTCTTTGCACCTTACCTTTGATGTTGTATCTGAGAGATTACTGTGATGGCTGCTTTGTTGTCTTAAGCAGAGATTATTGTCCTCTTGGAAGTTTTAAGTAGCAATAAATTGAACTTTTTGGGATTTACTGAAATTGCAAAGATAATTCTACTTCACACTTCCAGAATCTATAGACTTTTAGAAATTAAAGCTAAGTGCAGGTCATTGTTAAAATGATACAATCTTGATGCAGAAGCTCAGAGAATTGTGTGAATTGGGAACATTGTGTATTAGCTGTGGCTTCACTGCGTATTAGCTCTTGAGAACACCAAATCTGACTGGCTTCAGAAAGGGAAAGCAAGGTTGTGTCACATGGAGCTGCACTGAGGATTATTTCAATATTCCATCTTTCTGACATGAGAATTCTCTTCTGAAAGAGACAAAGACACAACTTGTGCCTCCTCAGATTGAGGTGGTAGCTTTCTCCATACTCTTGAAAATATTTGTCATTCTGTGTGTGCCTTTAGTCTCGGATTGATGAAGTCATAACATCAATTGCTCAGACTTTATTGGTGTCATTTTTTTCATCATAACAGTGTGGAACTCTGAAGTGATTCATACAATACCAAGGCAATAAAAGCGTTATGAAGTGTAATCATTGCATGTTTCATGCTCAATAGCTAATTTTTAATTTCACCATCTTGGATATTTTTTCATCCCCTCAGGGTTCCTAAATAGGAAAAGAGAATCATTTGGACTTGGACAACAGGAGCAGTGATTCAGGAAGGAATTAATTTATGTGGTTGTTCATCTGTTTTACTTTTGCAATTATTTTTCCTGTTTATATTTGAACAATAACTTTCATTCCGTGTGTCAGATACCCTCTTGTCATGCAGTGAAATCATGGTTCTGTGGTTGTGAGATCATTTGTTTACCATAAAGAGGAAAATACCTCACTTACAGCATCAGATGAAGTTGCATTATGGCTGGATCAGAGCAAAGGTGAAAGGCAGTCTGGGAGGGGAGGAAGAAGCTGAGCCTAAAGGATTTTTTTCTGTGCTGCCTTCTGGCTAGAAAACTTCTTCCTACAAAGGAAATTGTTTCCTCCACATTTAGCAGAATATCAACTTTATGTTCCTTGTTTATTGATAGTTAAGCCTTAATGGAACTGAAGTCTTTATGAATATATATGTTTATTGCATCAGGCTACCTACTGTCATGCTGAATTTTGGTCTTTAGTGATTTGAAATTAAAGAGTCACAGAAAATTTCCTGAACAACCCAAGAGAGGCATAGGTTGGGGGTGATTTAGCCTTTATTGTAATATAAAAATTGCTAAAAGTTCTATGAAATAGAAGATAAGAAATGACGTGTGTTGGTGTTTTTGTATCCTTTATAGTTGGCCTGAGCTTTTATGCTTTTGGAGTGAGGGGTGCAGGTTTCATGGGATAGCCTGATCATTAGAAGAATTGGCTGTGAACACCCTTTGGTGTTCACCCTGCTGCATGTGAATGATGCCCTGGGACAGCAGCAGAGGGAATGTGCCTTGGTAGTGCCATATCACACTGGTACCAGCCCCTTCCACAGGAGACTCAGATGAAAAAGCTTTTATGGGAGCTTCATATCCTTTATACTCAAATACATCTTTAATGTCAGCCCAAATGTTTATTTAAACCTTACTGAATTGTAGTTTAGTTTAAAAAAAAAATGTACTTTCATGTGTTTCTCATTTTTCTTGTAATTAACTGAGTATCATTCTGGGAGATGTCTTTCTCCATGTTTCAGTTGGGGTATTAAGCCACTCATACTTGAAAATAGTCCATTTGGACATTCTGTTTTTGTAAGCCAGATGAACTATGACTTTACCTTTACTTATGGAGTCCTTTGCAGGATTTATGGAAGTACCTTTAGAGAATAATTCTCAAAGTGTGTAGGATGGAAGGTGGATGGGTCAAAGCATTGCCTTCAAGTTAATGTTCTGTGTTTTCATTTCTTTAAGAGTCTAAGGTTATGAAAAACTAAAACTCTGTAAAGTAGGATTTTGCTTTCTTTTTCTGCACTGTATATTAAAATTCTTTGACACTCATTGGTTTTCTTTGCGTTTGCAAGGACACTTTCATCTTCCAGGATCAAGTTCTTCTTTTTGCTGTAGATCCTTACAGGAATAAGCAATCCAGGCTGTGCCTTTGAGGTTAAACAAGGCTGAAGGTGCAGTTCTAGGATGATATCTCCTTTGGAGGACATTGCAAGGAGCCACCCTCCTCTCTAGGACTGGGAAGGACATCCTTGAGGGCTGGCTTCTCTTTAGGTATTGTCCCCTAATGCAGCTCATCCAGGAAATGTTGTTTATTGCCACATTGATGGGTATGGGCAACTTCCACTCTGTGGCTTTCCTGAATTTACAGAGTAACTGAGATTCACTCACCCAGCCTGATGTGGAGGAGCATCCCAGTCTGGTGGTGCAGGAAGGCAAAGAAGAGGTGGTAGAAGGGTTACATAGTCCTTTCCCCCTTTCCCAGACAGTTAGTATGTGCCATTGAGTTGAAGCCAGTAGCCAAACACCAAAATCCCAAGCAGTTTAACTGGAATTTAAAGTTTCAATCCGTGAAAAGTTTTATTAATTAAAAAAAAAATCCAATCACTCTTAAAGCTCCCAGAATTTAACCTTTAGGAAGTGGCAAAATCAGCATTTTCTTCTGCAGCCAGGGACCTCTATCTATTGCACATACACAGCTGTGTGTGTACAGGTGTGATGTGCCATTATTCTGTGTAAATCTGCCTGTGCCATGTAAACCCACAGCTGGATAATGTTCCTGATGGTCCCCAGCCCTGCCTGTTTTCCTGGTGTTCCTTTCTCAGTGCTGTTCCTTCTGCAAATGGGAGTGTGTGCTCTGTGCTTGCCTCAGAGGGACAAGGCAGGAGCGTTTCATGATTCCTGCCTTGCAAATTGTCAACAGGGCTCTGAAGTGAAATACCTGCTTGTTATTCCTGGGGGTGACTGACACAGAACTAGAGCATTTCCTTGGGAGGTCTGGTAGTGCTGCTGTCACTGCGAGGCAGACTTTGCCAGTCAAGGACTTCACACAGCAGCATTTTCTTGTTGTTTTTCTTTTTTTTCCCCCTGCCCTGTCAATGCCTAGATTGTAGCAAAGAAAATTTCATTCTCACATGGAGGTCCTTAAGTGATAACATGGAATAAGTAAATCTTTCAGCAGTATCTCTTAAAAACATTCATTTCTCAGAGGTTCCCCTGCTTTTGCAGAGGGTCAGTGGCCTGGAAGTCTCACACCTAATGGCAGTGCCCAGGTGAGTGCTGGAAAACACTGGACACCTTGACAGATATATTCTGATCTATGGCTTTAATCTGCCCTCTGCTAGTTCCTTTTCCCAGCTGCTGTGTGAGAACAGCCACCTGGTGAACTGGGGAAGAAAGAGCCATTTCCAATGCTGTGATCTGAGTGTGGTTCTTGATAAGGGTGTTTTTAGCTGTGCCTGGAGGTGTGCAGGCTGTGGTGGCTGCTGGGCCGTTCCATGAGCTGGTGTGGCTCTCTGCAGAACACATCACAAAACTTCACTCAGCTGCTCCCTTGAAAAGAAACCTTGGCTGGACCACAGCAGTGCTGTTCAGAAAATCAAGCATTCTTGAGAATCCATCAATGTGTGAAATCCATCTTTTCCGTGAGTGGTTTATTCCAGTGCTTAGTGCTGCCCTTGCTGCTCAACTTGTGCCTTATTTCTCTGTGAGTCTTTCTGGCTTAACTTCTTATTCCTAGCTCTTAATTTGCCTGTCTTAATATCTTCCCCTAGTATTTCTGCAGCTCACAAACACCTCAATAGACTGACTGAGTGCCTTCACTCTCCTTCCACCACAGATTTTCTAGGTCATGACTGACTCATTTTTTGAAATGCTTTTCCTTTATGACTACCCAAACTCATTTGAGTTTTATGGAAATTCTTTCTATAGGAGTGTTTGGTTTAGTTAATGTAATACAATCTGGTAGTTTAGGACACGTCACTTTGTATTAAAATGTGATATACAATACTAATTTCATTTTGTGGGCCAACCTTAATTTAATTTTGAAGAAAAAAACTCTAATATAATTTGATACTTAACCAATTGATGTCCCAGTCTATTTTTACTCTATTACTAAGTGTAGCTCTGTCCTGGAAATGTTGTTCTTCAAATGAGTGTTTATCTCTGCTCCACTTTCCTCTTTGCTTCTGTACCACTCACATGCCAGTGAGGAGACAGAGCACGTTCCTCCTGCTTTCCAGCTGCTCATTCCTGCACTCACAGCTGGGCCAGGCAGGTGGGTGATGGGGCCCAGCTGGGCTGTGAAGGGCAGCAGGTCAACAGAGTTTCACAGAAAATAGGACACAAGAAGTAAAACTTAGAAGAAAGGGAAGCCAGAGCCATTTTACTCCTGGAATATGTCTTCAGGATATGTCCAGGGTTTCCTTGGATGAAGATGCCTTTGAATTGCCAAAGGATGGGGAAGAGTAATCACCATTATGTTGTGATGTTTTCTCAGAAGTGGGTAGAGTATCCTTAGGGAGAAACTTCAACTTTCGTGGAATTACTCCACTCTGGAGCCTCCAGCCAAGTCCCAAGAAGGAATCTGACCTGACAGCAGAGCTTGCTGTGTCTGCTATGATAAATTAAAGGCTGCTTTGGACTTACACACATTTTGTTTGACCATTCCTGCTAAATACTCAATATCCTCTCTTAACCAATGAGATGAGGAACTGCTGAGTTCCTCCACTGAGATGGTTTAATGAAAATTGTTCTTTGCCAGAATTTTGAAGGTCAAAACCAGCTTAAATATGTAAACAGATATTCTATCAAGGTAAAGTAAAAAAACTTACAATTAATCTCTTCTAAGAAGTCACTTCCTTCCTTTGAGAATTTTGAATTATGCTAGACAAGGTTCTTCTAAATTTCCTTCTTCATCTCTCTGAAGATTCCCTGTTAATTAACTTAGTCATTTATAAATGTTATGAAATCATGTTATTGACTTATTTCTATTTGTAAAGGCACCAGGAAATTTGTGTACTGCATCCTTTGAAAAGTAATTAATGTTTCACTCCTAAATGCCTATTGATATTTTTTGTGCTTCCTATTGATTTGAAATTAATATCTCTGCCAGTTGAAAGCTCACATGCTGGTTTGTCCAGCTTCCAGAGAATGGACAGGACATCATTGCTGAGCTGATCTGGTTAAAGTTATCACCTTCATCTGATGACCTCAGGAAAAAAGGTTCTGGCAAGTTCTGCCTGGTCTGGGTTCCCTCCCTTTCTGGGGCTGGTGGAAGGTGACCCTTTCCCACGTGGATTGGGAGGGGTTGGGAAGGTTTGAACTAACTAGTGCCTTAATGATGGGAGGAGTTAGGTCAGAGCAGTTTAAGTGCATGTTGTAATACCAAGGGCAGAAACCAGCTGATGCCCTTACCCCAGTGCTGCAGGATTATTAAACACTCTGGGCAAGGCCTTGGTGATGTTTTGCAGGGTTATGGGTGGTGCAGAAGTTGCTCTCAAGGTCTCCTTGCTTGCCCGACTAATCCGATTTCCTATTTGGGAGCTCAGGTAGAACCTGTACCTGAGAGGTTTCACCTTTGTGGTGCAAGACCTTGCTGGATTTTCACCCTCTGTGTGTGAGAGATTTGCTTCTCATCAATGACCTGTGGTGAGATGCAGAGAGTCCCACAGGCTGCAGAGTTTGCTGAATGCATTTGGGGTGGGTGGTGCTTTGTGTGCACTGGCTCAATGCATGGCGTTCTCCTCCTTGAGCAAGGACTACACTGGCAGTTCCACAGAAGTTTGGGATCTTTTATTTTATTGCTGGGTAACAAACTTTTTTCTGGTCTGGGAAGCCAACTTTCGTGGAGCTTTTTTAGCAGAGGGATGGTTTGTTGGCCAGTATTGCCTCTGCTCTGCATGTGAAAAATCTCCCCTTTGTACTGTCAGGTACCCCAAATGTAATTATTGTAAGAATCAGACATGGTATGATTAGAGGGATTCATATTTGTTTTTCAAGGGTTTTCTCTGTATTAAACACTTCAGCAAAATTTCAGTAGCCAGTGACCTCTTTTGAGAAGTGACTCATGGCAAAATTTCAGTGACCTCTTTTGAGAAGTGACTCATTGCATTTTAAAGCCTTTATACCCAAGTCTTCCCTTCTTATCAGGGACATGGGAGACAAATAGATCGTTCCTGTCTGCGATTTCCACTCTCAGGGGAAGTCCCTTTTCATTGCCTGTGGGGATGCTCGGCTGCATCACTGCTTTTAATTGCCTGCAGGCTCCTGCAGGACTGCCTGTGTCCCCTCTGGTATGGCCTACATCCTTGCAGAGCCACGGATCCCTTGGCACTGGTTAGTGGAACCTTAGCACAGGACAGAGAGTCCTGCTGCTGCTAATCCCTCGCTGACTCCCAGGGCTGGAAGCTATGTGACAATCCCTTCTTTGCCTAAATTCATCTGGCATTGTCTTGCCTATAGAAGGATACCAATTAATTCTCTGTATTAAAGATGATGGTAGAAAATGGGGCTGGGTGGTGTCTCTGGAGCATTATGGATACTGGGTGTATCCCCAGTGAAACCCAGGGAAGGGTGTATTTAAAAGAGCACAGCACCTTATCAAGCCAGGAATTCATGCATTGTGATATATATGTGTTTTTTCTTGAAAGAGGGAATAAATGGTGAAATAATCCTTCCAGCTATAGCCTGAATTGCCTTGCTGCAGGTCACATCAAACTGTATGAATGTGTCAGATAGTTCAGTTTAATTGGAAGGCTTGGGCTAGTGGAGGAGTAAGATGATATTTCGGGTGAGTTAAAGTAAACATTACAGTCTGCTATGGAAAGGAAGAATTTAGAAGATGTAAGGGCCTTCTTGCTCATTTTGGAAAGTTCTCCAAGAATATCTGTTCCACTCTTCTGTAGTCCTGGAAGTGTCTGGACCTGTAACACAGGACTGAAGTTACTGGTCCCGTGCTGTTGAAGTCCCACTGTTCCACAGGTCAATCTGATCCAATTTTACTATGCTAATTGCAGATAAACTGAGAACATTGTTCCCCAGAACTTGATTAT